TATTTTGAATCGCTCAAATGATTGTCAAAACGCACTAAAGAATGTATTCTCGAATGGCTATGATTGTCCAAACGCGCTATAGATCGCTTATGTTTATGCTAATAACTCTAATGAAGTTTCATTTTTGGTTGAATGATTGTCAATAAATGCAACCGTTTGTCAATTGGTGCTATTGAATTTTCATTGCGCGCACATGAAACAACGTTCCACCCAAATGATTGTCCAGTCTTTCAGTTGATTGTCTATTGATACTGTTGAATGCTCGCGYGTATTTAAATATCGCTATTGAAAGTSGTTTCGCGCCAATGATGTTGCTTACGGTGGTCAAGAAAGTACAATAAAAGTTATTGAAGCAWCGCTTGGCACAAATGAGTGTACGTTTTACGCTAATGAACAGCAAAAGGTGTATTACTGAGTGACACTGATGACGCGAAAAATAAAGATAAAAAATAAGTAAAAAATATATATATAAGTATTTCAATTTAGAACAGCAGTGTGAAGTCTGTTTAGAACAAATAAATAATAATAATTAGCATCGCGATGTCCTGTTTGTTTTGCAGCAGACGATGAAAAATCCTCTTGTTGAAGACAAATGTGGAAATCGCCGTCACGTTATTTCTCGCGATTTGACGCAATTTGTTAATTACATTRTAATTCTGATTAACTCTTTTAGATTAACTTATTACTTTTCACTATTTCAAACAGGACAATCTTATGGAAACACGTGTATGATAAAATTAAATTACACAAATTCTTAGCATCAAAGCAAAGTTTTTATGTTAATATTTCTATATAAAATCAGTGGTGTTAATGCTGATAGTATGATCCGCTTAGTCTTTATATAATTCCTTTCGATACTCTATAATCTATATAACTGAGATTTAATTTATTTTAGTGGTAGCTGAAACAGTATTCAAAATAATCTCATCACAACAGACTATTGACGCTTTTTTCATGTTCAAGTTTTTTCAGTTTCAAATTAAAGATGTCAGCATTTGGCTGATGAGCACTTCCTTAGTTTGACCACACACGGGTTACGTTAATAAAATAAAATAAAAAAATCATTTTTTGCTTAATTAAGATATACKTTTGACTGTCAATGATTCTCAAAAAAACAGTTGTGTAAGCCTGTAAGTTATCTTAAATTAATAGCTACATTTGGAGAAATAAACAGTCTTGAGATCAAATTGTAAATGAGATCAAATTATAAATTGTGCTACTAATATATGCTCCTTGCATGAAAAAGAGGGAGCACGCAAGAGGGAGCAGGGAGCTCGCACTCCTCACTACTACGTAACAGCCTCGATCGTTTCTTTCACTGTCGCTACCTATACCAGTCTCATCGACTTCAATTCTAATCATYGTGAACATGGCGGGTGATTGACAGGTGGTCTAGGAGTGCATAAAAGACTGTATAGGCTATTCACATCAAGCAGYCGCTGACTCGGTCCTGGTTTGAGCCTGTAAGGATGGAGCGAGCCGACAAATTCCTCAACAGCGCCATTAGCGAGGTTCTTCTCTTTTTCCCTCCATCTGCTAACTTTATCTTGATCAATTAATGGCTGTCCGGAGGGTTTTTCCACCAGCCATTTCTGAATACCAACAAGCTCTAAAGCGTGATCGTGTGCCCGCTCTACTTGRTCTGGAGCTCGAAGTTCGCGTAGTCTTGGTGGAGCGCTACGAGCTCTTTCTCTCCCAGAAGTACAAAACTCAGCCACTTTTTCCCACATTTTACAACGGACCTCAAGTACTTTTGACGGCCTAGTGTTTATACCTGGTCGAAATGAATATTCCTTTTGATAAGGAACCCGAAAATTTTTATTCCACTGACGAAGCTGTAATGACGGTGCTATATTTTCATTTTTCCTGTTCTCRWTCTCTGCGTTCATTGCCTTTCCTCTTAACATATAAGAACGAAGTTTTTTATCATCATGCCGATTTGAATGGAAGTTGGCAACAATATCTTCTTGAACCTTTGCCATTGTRGCGCTTTGATGAAGACGTTCGTGGAAGGTTTTTGCGATTATTTTTTGTTGACATTCAATATTTACTACTCTAACGCGGATTTGTTTGTCCAAACGTTCAAGATGCTTATAGAGTTCATATTGTTCCATATTATTTGCTCCAAGTTTTCCTGTTTTTAGTTTARCTTTGTCTCCCATTATTRCCAAATATRCTTCAAGACGAAAAATCTATTTAGCAATTCAACGGGATATTCCCCTCAAAAGATCAGTTCTTCTTGAGCTGACGAAATGTTCCTCATCCGACGAAGTTTAACCCAACTACTCATTTTTGTTTACYYTTTAGATTTTTATCTCTCGTTGATGTTTATCCTCGCGGCTGTTTCCATGAAAACTCAATTGCTCAAATTCACAATTATCAATGAACTCTCATCCATTTTACATTCATTTGTAAAGTCAGCCAATCATTCTTCAGTAAGAAGGCGAAATTCACACCAAATTGATTGTATATCGTATGCAAATATTGTCAACAACTAGCAGGTGCAAGCGAACTGTATTTTGAACAGTTTCCTGATTCCTACTGATGTGAACAATCTATTTCAGAATATTCTAGTTTTTGAATAGAAACGGCCTCAAAATAAGATATCGAAGCTGTCAGTCAGTTGCAAGGTGCCTTTCAAAGGCGTTTACTTGTTATGTAAAAATGTGTTGTTGTTKTTTTTTTAGTTTCGTCGGAACTTATATCATGTAAAGAGCTCCCGCACATCCTCAAGATAAGAGCGGTACTTAAACACATATTCTCAAAGTCCTCATTGAATAGTTTATCTTTTACACTTAAACGTATCAAGAAATAAGTTCAGGTGAAATATAATTCTAACAGTTTGTTTTTTATTGTTTTTCTTTCTTGTATTCCATATCATATTTTTCATCAACTTCGTTTTAAGTACTTATTCCTTTCTAAAATACATCATATCGTAATAATTGTCTTTTACTTCAATTCCGATCCTGCTTTGTTTTGTTTAGTTTACATGCAACTTAAGCAATTAGTTTTTATAAATTCTATTTTATTTGGTTTTTTAACAATCAGGCGGTTGTTTTATACTATACAGTCATTAWAAAGATTTTATAACAAGATTTTGAATTAGTGCTTGGAGACGTCCACCATCAAATCATATGCATTATTTAAATTAAAACACTGAATGCATTATTTGTTAAAGCGACAATTTCTCATCACTGAGAGTTTTTCTTAAAGGGCCATAGTTATCCGGCATCCTTTACGAGATTTTGCTTATGTTTGATAAATAAAAAAGGCTTACTATCTATAGGCGCGTAGCGTGGACTTTTTGGCTACTACGCACATGTCAGGRACCGAGACACATATTATGGATTGGGTGGTTAACGACCGCCGAAGGCGGGAGTATTAAGGAGAGTCTGGGAGTCCTTTCTAGCTGTCTAGGAAATTTTGAAATAATGACTCTTGAAAATGAGATTTCCAGCGTTTTGAGGTTCTTTTTGATAACGAAGCCTTGGTGCGACAGAGCAACCAAAGATAATTATATAAAAAAAATCCCGAAAATTTTAATATTTCATTCAGTGTCACAAGTACGCAAGTGCGTATATGCGTAAAGGACGCTACGCGCCTGACCATCTATCTTACTATCTTTACTATCCTTTTACAAAACTGTATTGCATTTTGCATTTTTTCAGATGCAGATGCATATTATTTGAAGAATTGCGCAGGTTACTAAAAAGATTTTATCTCAAGGCAAATATTCCTGTCTAGTAAATACAGTGATTTCCCCATTTTCTATATTTTTAATGAAAACTAATTTAGATATTAAAATTTATTTTTTAGTGGATATATTAGTAAGGTACTGGTTCGACTATACAACCGACTGATAGAAAAAAAAAATGTGAATTAGGTAGGAGTCATCTCTCGCTTTTCACTTCATTAGCTAAGTCAAGCCAAACATTACTTAATTCACACGTCAATTGCAATGAATTAATGAAACTTGAATAACTGCGGCTACATTAGACTATCCTTCAATGAAACATCAAATCGTCGCTGATTAGCAAAATACTATTCGCTGGAGCAATTCTAAATCTTCCCTTAATACAGTACAGGCATATATTCAAATTGTTCAAGTTTAGTGCCTTCATGAAAAATGTAAATACTGAACCAATGCACACTGAGAGTTATTTGGGATATCCAGTACTTGTAAGTGCAAACATAATTATCGTTCAAACTAATAATTCTCGTGCTTAGCATCATCGCACGAGACATCTTCAGAAAATCGACAGGTACCGAGGCCTTTGTCAAAGGATCTTCCCTGAGGACAGGCCACAAACTTGGTCCATCCAGAAGAGCATTGGATATATCCTTTACATGATATGGAGGTTGGGTAAAAACCGTCAGGCTTTGCTGAACAAAACTGATAACGAGACACTGAAACAAAGTAATTTGGACAATATTGAATTTATGATTGGAATTTATGATTGTATTTAAAGATGCAATTGTTGCACAAAACTCAAATTTTCCTCTTATCTTCATATAGTGATGCTTCTAAGAATGTTATGATTTCATCTACAAAAGTTTGAGATATTACTTTCATTTTCAAAAGGCAATAGCAGATCAAGACTTATTACAGCTCATCCCGATTACTCCATTAAAGTCTATTCATAGAAGTTGTATACTTAGAGGAACATAGTTCAAAATGTGACTAGAGCTAGAGTTGGTACTCACGTGGTATATCACAGCTTTGTGGACAGTTATTAAGCATCCAGGCCCAGTGTTGGTCATGGTTACAGTCTCCTTGCGCCGACCAGGCAGGACACCAACTTTCCTTATCATACACTGCAGATGAAATTGTTTATATTTTGTACCTTAAAACTGTCAGAAGTGATGCTTCTTACCTAGTACATGACATAAAAGAAGTGGTCTAAATCAAATTTACCTTTACAAAGTCCACAGCTTCTTCTACACTTTGTTAACATCTTTTCTGGTGATCGATTACAATATCCAATGAGAGCCATTTCTGGGCAGGCTGGAACAAGATCTTCACACTCTAAAAATATATATGATATGCTATGGGTAAGTAGGAAGTAAAAGCAAGGCTACTGGAATGGGAATATTGCCCCTAAGGCAGTAACATTTTGCAATCGGGCAATTCCAGTTCACTCAGACTGGCATGGAGATGAATGCACAATGTTTTACAAATGTTTTTAGTTAGTATGTTACCTTTACACTGGTTGCAGCTTGTCTTGCAGTTCTTTAGCATCCAGTTTCGGTTCTTTTCGCATTCTAGTTGATCAGCCCACAGAGGGCATTGGTTATCCGAATCGACACACCCTGATTGTTCTGTATTGGGTTAATGCAATGTATGATTAGCAACCGAGATTGTTATTATAACAAATTGTTAGGGATTTACTTACCAACTGGAAAAGGATTAGGACCTGGACTTGGTAAAGGACCAGGAGACGATGACGGTGGATGAGGTAGTGGTGGGTGCACTGGAGTGGATGGGTTAGGTGCCGGTGGCGAAGTAGAAGTTTCAGGGGGAGGAGGAAATGAAGAGGGTAAAGATGATGGTGGTGGCGGTGCGGGAGGAGAAGGAGGAAGAGAAGGCGGTGATTGAGGCAGTGGTGATGCTGGTGGCGGCGGCTGCGGGGCCGGTGACGGCTGTGGTGCCGGTGAGGGTTCCGGTGATGGTGCCGGTGAGGGTTCCGGTGCTGGTGCCGGAGAGGGTTCCGGTGCTGGTGCTGGTGCCGGTGCCGGTGCCGGTGCCGGTGCCGGTGCCGGTGCCGGTGCCGGTGCCGGTGCCGGTGCCGGTGGGCTTGTTTCACCTGCAGGGCCGCTGGCAGGTGTAGGTGCGCTCGTAGGTAAAACTGTTGGTACGCCAGTACCATCGTCTGCGAAACAGCCGTCAACAATGTTAGTTGAATCTAATTATGCATGTTTTCTCTTTGATCAAATGTTTTGAAATAGAATACTTCACTATAAACAATTGAAACTCACCACAAATCCCACAAGATGCAGGGCATTTGTCTTGCATGAATGACTGACTGCATTTTTTCCCTTTGTTTAGATAATCTTTACATCGGTACTTGGAAACATCCTCACATTTTTCTGAAATATTTGAATTAAGTGAAAACGGAAGAACTTATTTCCAGGACGCGCGAAAGGAGTAATTTTAATGAGCATCTTACCTGAACAATCTGGTGGTCGATAACCAGATGGACATTTACATATGCACTTGCTTTTGTCCAAAGTGCCTTGTTTACACTGAAGAGGACAATCTATAAAATCAAAGATAACTTGTTTAGAAACATGCAAAAAGACAAACAAAATTCTTATAATACACAGGCTAATGTTCTCTATGTTGCAAGAAAACCACCTTTGAATTCTCTTACCACAAAGATTACACATTTTAGGACAAAATTTCTTCATTTTCTCTACATCTACTGTGCACATGTCTTGAGTTAAGGATTTTCCACATTCCAGGCTGTGGTCTTTGCAATCTCCTGAATGTACAAACAATAAGCAAACAAATCAACCAATCAGCGAACCATGCAAAGCAACCAAGGACGCGACCAGCTAACCAGGCAATTTGTCTGTTGGCAATTCCATTAAGTCAAAAAAATTGACCAACCAAACCAACCAAAGAATAATCACGCATTAGGTACAACCAGATCAGTTTAAAAAACTTACTACAGAGATTTTTATAGCACCATCCAAAACCTGAGGCACATTTAGAGCAAGGAGTCCCAAGCTTGTAGGGGTATTCACCAATGATGTTTCCGCTAGAAAAGTGTCAAAGATAGTGGGCATTAAGTGTCAAGATAGTGGGCATTAAGTGTCAAGATAGTGGGCATTAAGTGTCAAGTAAGTGGGCATTAAGTTTATATTGAGGGTTAAGGTTGGAGGAAATTCATTGGTACGTGCAAAATCAGGTTGGGTGATTCGAAAAGCTCACTAAAAATCATTACTGAAAGCAAGACAAAAAAAAAAACGCCAATAAAAAACGCCAATAAAAACTTCTGTTTTACAGAAGTGAAGAGTAAAGATGACCCTGACCTACCCTGCTGCGTAGTCACAAGCCACAAACGATTGTCCCTGAGGAGGACTAAAGGTGCCTCTCATCGTCTGACAAAAATTCATACCACAACCAACGTCCTTGCTTGTCGCCCAGGCAAGCTGAGATAAAATATTCACTATATATTCAGTCATTGTACATCTAAAAATGGAAAATGGCTATAATTCCCCCTCCATAAATGAAAAATGTCTATCTTTTCTCTTATTAAACGCTTTGCTTTTGAAAGTGTATTTTTGTGTCATATGATGGATTTTGCACAACGTCACTCTGCTGCGAGACAAGTTGGATTGTTGCAGTATTACGCGCAACACCGACTTATTTTCTTGTTAAAAGTAGAACGATTTGACATTCCGCAACAATCTTTTTCATTCAACTTGTAACAAATTATTTTGCTGCGATACAACTTATGGTTTTGTCAATACTTTATGTATGTTCCATATTACCTGGGTGTAATGACCACAAATCTTTCCAGGTACGCACTGATTTGGACCCATTGGAGAATCAAATTTATTAAACCTGTAATACTTGATTTCATTATACCACCTCTCAACTCGAACCTCTGGTGAGGTCACTTTACCATATTCTCGTGCTAAATTTTGACCTAAACCAAGAAATAAAATTCTATAAATATATAACTGAAACTATCCAGAGCACTCATTCCTGTTATTCACAACAATAAAGCGATCCCGCATATACATAACAATACTCTTATGTAGCAAATGAGCACGTCATGCGACTAGTATAGAATTCCACGGTCATCTCAGTGGGATGGTTCGTTTTTCGACTTTAGCTTTTTTTACGACTTTAAAGTATCGACATTCTTATTTTTCTCTAGCTAGTTGGACAGTAATCTTTCACATCACGAGCGAGTTTTCTGTTATCTCAGTACATAGTACATTTATAAATTCAGTCGCTTGACAAATTCTAATATCGTTGCTTCAAAGGTACCTACTCCACATTTTTGGGTTACCTGTGTAATCATCAAACTGGTGGGGTGCATTTACTAGTGTCGTGTTTAAATTATATGTTCAAATTGAAAAAGAAGAATCTCGAGACAAAAAAAAAAGAAAAGAAACGACATATAAGGAAAAAAAGCAAAAAAGAACGAAAAAAAAAGAAGAAGAAGAAAAACGATAAGCGAAAAAGTTCACATCAGGACTAGAACTCAGGTGCTTCACCTTTGTGGAGGATGCACCCCCCGGACAAACATAAGAAATAATGAAATCAAAAAATGAAAAAGATGGGACGATTCCCCCGAGACATTCTGTGAAGCTGAGGCGTCGAATCGGCTTACGTTACGGTTAGAGATTTCGGCTCTTCCACGCTATCCCGAGTGAACATAAAACTTAGTCTTAACCAAAAGGCCAGGGAGTGAGGGGGTAGCCGCCCACTAGAGCATACCTTTAGCTACCCTCTTAGACCATCGTACTATGAAGTCACTGATAGATATCTAATACCTAATTGGGATAGTCTATTCGGTGAAGTTCTATGCTAATATATGACGTCATCGAAATCCTCAAGGGGGAGAAGGGAGCCAATCAGATCTCGTCAGCTCCAGCATTAGCATATGATGTTTACACAGTTAATCTTCAGTAAGTTCATTATTTCATGGGGGTGGGGTGGGGCTTGTGTGCTTTACTGCCGCTAATGTGCCACTCTACTCGATGGAATCTGACGGCTTTCACAGACTTGTCCAATTGTCGCTCTTGATTTCCAAATCATCACAGGTAGGGCAAAATATGTGCAGTATTCACATTAAACAGCAGTTACTAATGGATAAACTCGAAAAAAAACTTAAGCTTGAAATACTTAAAGTAGTCATTGTGGATCGAGCAAAGCAGGTGCTAGTGGTTTCAAAAGCATGTGCAGCCGTCTTGCCAAAATACAGCGGAACTCAATAAGCTGTAGAACTGCGCTAAACTCCGACATGAAACTGACGCCGTTCAGCATCTTCCCTTCTTTAATGGATACCTCTTCATTATTAGACTTAACCGAAGGATAAATTCAGTGGTTATTAACTAATATAAATACTAAACATACATGTAAATATATTGAATGTTGTCACTATTATTATATATTATATTTTATCGCAAGGAAACGCTCCGACAGGCAAAAGAAACAACAAAACAGTCAAAAGGCATAGAGAGCTCAGTATTTATATTTAAGCTCTGATAAAGCTAAGATGGAATTGCTTTAGCGAATATTTTTGTTTACTCTTGACATTTTTCTCTATTCTTGATGTGCAGCAAACATGAACGAGATCGAGAATCCCCTGAGAAATAAAGAACAAAGGCATCGCCGCCATATTGCATAAACCACCAAGCAACGAGGAAAGGCATGCGCTGTTTACATCAAACATTGCTTTGATAGGGTTTTTGCTAATAATTCAAAGGTAATCATTAAATTTATTGGTCATTAAACTACAGAATAAGTGAATAAGTTTGAATCGCCTGAATAAGTAATATTCGATGTACAATCTTTAGCGAGTGAAAGACGAACGGCACATATAATTACTCAATTTTTCTTTTTTTCTCTTTTCTTTTTTTTAAGATATGAGCCTTCTAACAGCAAATTGGCCGAATATTTTTAATTAACGTGAGCTTATTTTACGCACTTTCACAGTTTACTGTTCATATTAATGTTTTGTTTTTGGGGCCATTGAGACGATCCATTAAGTACTTACAGAGGGCAGCGATAGCACGACGTCCTTACACCACTTAGTTTAGTCGGCTTGATCTTTATAAAACTGGGCGAGGTTTGCAACACACCATCTACCCTAATAACTGTGCCACTTACCGATTTGTTCGTCTTTTGTCGCCACTGTGGGGTCTTTGGGGTATTGAGATCCAAATTGAATAAAGCCATGGGCCCAAATACATTTGTTGGCCCACATTTGGGCAAGGTTAGCGAGATCATCACTCCAAACCTTAAAGATGATTAATGAGGATTTACAAATATACACTATGTAATCAAGAGAAAATGAGGTAAGAGAAGGAATCCCTGTTACCCATCATATCAGCCCTTCGTTCTATTTTTAGAAAAAGAGCTATTTTTAGTTTGTTACCAAGCCCGCGCGACCACTACTCGTTTATATATCGGAATTTGATATCGGCTATTTTTCATCGCCAAAAACTGAATGTCAAATACTGTTCGAGAAAAGCTACGAAATTCGCTTTTAAAAAGGAAACTTCTTGAAGAAGAAAAGGAATCTTCTTCAAAACAAAGAAAACTTGAAAGTGTCGAAGAAGAATCAGCTTCTGAAGGTAATGTGACATGAAATTAGATCGACAATCTGACCTTTGAATTCTTTGACCTCTCGAGCAGTAATATTTAACCTGGAATAGATAATTTATAAAACGCATAATTTACATTTGTAGATTCAACACGAAAGGATGTTGTCCAATCATGTTCCATTTCTAAAAATAGCTCTTTTTCTAAAAATAGAACAAAGGGCTGATATGATGGGTTAAGAACGCAGTACCAGGGATTCCTTCTCTTACCTCATTTTCTCTTGATGTAATACATCAACATGAACAAATTCAACAAAAGCTCCGCTGTCATTGAATTTTTAAAATTAAGTACATCAACAGCATTCTACATTACTACAGCTACCAACACTTCTTGCAGTTTTATACTGAACTCTCTGGTACTGCCCCCATTGAAGTACCAACATTGTTTTGTCTCGATGTCAACTCACATTGAGAAATCAGTCCAATCATAACACTGCAATGAGCGTCCTTCAGATATGTGGAAAATTGACCATTCACTGTAACTCTCAGCTACTGTTTAGAAAAGAAACTAGCATGCAGTCGAGCGATTTTAGATTACAAAGCATTCCTTATTTAAACTTTTTTTTAATGTTTATCTAAAATCACACCAACTTCAGCTTAAAACTAAAGTACAACGCAATATAACAAAAAATCACAAACTACAAGAGATACTAAAGGTAATGGGGAGTGAATATTTTGTTTGTGCTGTTACATATATTTGGTAGCATACATATAGCTGGTCATAATTAGTACATAACTGGGATATTAGATATCGTATTACCTGATATTCCATGTTAGCGGCTTCTGGCTGTACCATCGATCTAAACTTATTATGCGCGTCCAGCATGTCCTGTTTTTGAATTGGGGTTAATGAACTTTCAGCAAAATCACTTCTACTAGACGGAGCTTTCTGTTGTACATAACCTTTAGTGATTATAAAGCATGAGAAAATGCACAGCAAAATCGTCTCCTTTTCCCGCATGGACGCCATTTAACACTGAAGAAGCTCCCGTTAAAAATCAAGGCGGGACAACTACTCTACAAGAAAAAATGAGGGTTGTCTTCAATCTCTGAAGAACGTCATTTTCAAAGCTTTCTTTTCTTTTTGAAGACAGTTTAGTTCCATTTCTTTCTTACGAAATCTGTTGGACTAGTATGGAACAGCGATGCTTGTCTGTTTATCAAAAACAAATGATGGGAGTTACCATTACGTCAGACCTCGACTATAACCTGCAATCCACCTCAAAGTTTTCAATAACGTTCCTCTTCTTTTAAACAAATTGTATGATTGTTTCACTATCGCTGTACTAAAATGATTACAGAAACCTATCTATCGACATTGTGTTGAAGTGATTTTGACTTTGATTGACTTATTACGGACAGGATTTTGTCACTTTCCTCTTCAAGAGTCAAAACACGGAACGCCCACCTGTCGATGTCTGAACAGATCAATTCACATTGTCTGCTATTGAGGGAGCGAATACGATTTTACTCTTAAAATAAAACTGCTTTTTTTTGTTATGCTTAAAAAGATGAATTAAAAATTTGCTAAATAGACAAATAAATAAATATATGAAATATCATGATAATTTTGCTTTTAAATTCAACTGATCTTTGCGCGCCAAATTTCTTTTTTTTATTTGAATAACAGAAAAATGCAACTATGTAAATCCTATTTTGAGATATTTTGTTTACGAGCAGACAATATTTACCGCTCTTTTTCAAAACGTTCCCAGAACACCTGAGTTTTTTTGCCTAGTTTTAAATAGCTGAAAACGTAAATGCAAGGCGAAAGAAATTTCGTTATGGGGTTCGCCCGCTTTTTTGACCGGTGTTTTTATCCATTTTTTCGGAACATGTTTCGACTACGTTGGGAAAATATTTGCCTTACACTTAGTCAATGATATGATGAAACGTCTCTTTTATGGGCGCTAGAGGAAATATCAACTACAATAAACAAATGATCCAAATAGATTTTTACTAGACTGTACAGTTTATAATATTTTTGCAAGATCAGTAATTACATTTCATTTTTACATTGTAAGTATTTCAAGATGGCCGCCGTTTCGGCAAAAATAACCTTACAATAAACCAAGCTAAGCCATATGTACACGCTCTCGGTCAAAACTGTTATGTACCATGCTGGCGACGCATTTTGAGAATAACTGCCACTGCTCTGCGCGCCCCTCCTTCTTGAATGAAACATCAAAATCGTCGTTTTCATATTACCTAAACGTAGCCTGGTTTTCAGAAGGGCCTGACCCTAAAAGTTTTCTCCAAAATCTCTGAAAGTCTGAAAATCTGATTACGACAAAAGGTAAAACAGGGAGAGTCCTATGGGAGATAAGGACACTAACACTGAAATCATTTATGTGACATTATTAACCCAGTAAAAACTCATAGCAGAGAACATTTTCGGACATTCGACAGGTGTTGGAGTCTTTATCAAACCATTTTCCCTGGGGACAGGCTTGGTACTTGGTCCATCCAGAGGAGCATTGGATATATCCTTTACATGATATGGGGGTTGGGTACAGACCGTCAGGCTTTGCTGAACAAAACTGGTGACGAGAAACTGAAACAAAGTTATAAATGTTTGAGGCATAAAGTATTGTACATAATCATTATGTTGCAGCTCTGTCATCTCCAAGGAGTTGATATAAGAAAGATAACAGATAACTGAACCTTGGCGAGTAATTTTGACTCCTCTTCTAAGAACAATTTTGTACCCATTTTGGAGTGATTTGACTCTCTTTCCGAGTAGCATTTAAACCTCTAGAGTAAAAGCTAATCGCATTGTAGAGTAGATTTAAACCTCTTTAAAATTACTCCACCAAGTAGAGTTACTTACTCCATTGGTGGAGTTATTTCAACTTCTTGAAAATAACAGTGAACACATTAATAAGGCCTACAAACTGGGACAGCTTCCTGTTTTGAATAGCGGTAAGAACAKCATGGAAATATAGCTGATGTACTGATACATAAATTGCACAAGCAAGCTTTACATATTTTGGCACATATATTACAATTTAGCACAAAATCAGCACTCGCTGTTACTTGTAACATTTATCAATATCTTAATAATAACGGCTACCTTTGCAGTACCATCGTGCAACAAACATAGCGGCACCTCTCAATGAGTCTCAAAGAGTCTAAACGCTACTCACAGTTAAATCTAGTGGTATGTATAATTGATAAAAGCACCATCACTGAAGAGACTAGGATAGATACTCACGTGGTAAATCACAGCTTCGTGGACAGTTATTAAGCATCCAGGCCCAGTGTTGGTCGTGGTTACAGTCTCCTTGGGCTGCCCAAGCAGGGCACCATTTTTCCTTATCGTAAACTGAGAAAATGGATATATTTATATATTTCGCTTTTTCTATAAACCAAGGCAATGAATAGCACTGAAAAGATATACGTAAATATAATGGTCAAAACTATTACCTCTGCAAAGTCCACAGCTTCTTCTACACTTTGTTAACATCTTTTCTGGTGATCGATTACAATATCCAATGAGAGCCATTTCTGGGCAGGATGGCAGAAGGTCTTCACAATCTGAATAAATACTACTAACCTTACTAAACAATCAATCATTAATATATAGGATTGATATAGATACAACTGCTTCAATGGCCACATGTTCATGCAAAACATCTATAGGATTTTAAGCATCGTATTCAATAGGCTAGATACTAAGCGAACGTGCAACATAATCATTTCTTCCATTCAGTCAAGTCTGAATCAGCGTTACCTTTACATTGATTACAGCTTGATTTACAATTATGCAGCATCCAGTTTCGGTTCTTTTCGCATTCAAGTTGGTCAGCCCACAGAGGGCACTGGTTATCAGAATCCTCACATGTTGACTCTGTATTGGATTAAAAACCGATCGGTCATCACTTTCTTGTCAGTCAATATCTTATTTTCTCGGTTATTTAGTTAAAATAAAAAACAACAACAATGACAAGATTACTTCCCAGTACAAAGAACAACGGCGGCAGCATCAGCACAAAAACAACATCATCTACCACAATAATGATCAAGCATGATCCGGATGAAAAAAGGTCAAAAAAAACTACAGCAACAACAGAATATGGATAACATTACTGTCGACTTTCTCCATTGCTGACTTTGAATTTGGATGCCAACATATCCCATTGAACCTAATCAGAATCATTAGCAACAATATATTTGACAAATGAAGTTTCGTGAAATGATATGTAAGTTCGCTAGCTGCATCCTGAAGTTTCACTGTGAAATCTGTAGGATTTTCGTAGAAGTAATTATGCGTGCCATGCAAGGTATTAGTAAGGGACAGTTTTTGCTTACTAATTGGAACAGAACTATAATACCTGGAATTGGTAAAGAACCAGGTGACGGTGACGGTGGCTGTGGAAGTGGCTCCGGCGGCGGAGGAGATGGAGCTGATGATGGTGGAGCAGGTGGAGGGGGAGGTGGAGGTGGAGGTGGAGGTGGAGGTGGTGATGGTGATGGTGCTGGTGCTGCTGGTGGTGGGGATGGAGATGGTGGTAGTACTGGTGAGGGAGGGGTAGGTAGTGGTGCTGGTGGCTGTGGTGGTGCCGGCGCGCTTGTTGCTCCTGCAGGACCACTGGCAGGGGTTGGAGAACTTGTGGTTAAAACAGTTGGTACACCACTACCATCCTCTGCACAACAAAAGAAACATAGAATGTTCAGTTTAGAGTCAAATGTATATGCATGCTGGAAACGACTCTTTACTTCTTCATTGGATATAACTCACCGCAAATCCCACAAGACGCAGGGCACTTTTCTTGCATGAATGCTTGTGTACACTTTTTACCTTTAGATAGATAATCTTTACAACGATACTTGGAAACATCTTCACATTTCTCTGCGAAAGATAAATTGATAATCAGGCAGTCCTGTGATATTCTTAATCAATCGAGAAGCGAAGAACAATTGCATTGATTGGAGGAAATAAGCAAAATGCAAAAATGAAGATAGAATGCGAAAGGAGGGAGGAATAAGACGGAAAAAAACTCAGCATGGCCGAATAAGGTAACGAACAGCCAGATCAGCACCTGATCTTACCTGAACAATCTGGTGGTCGAAAACCACTTGGACATTTACATATGCACTTGCTTTTGTCCAATGTGCCTTGTTGACACTTCAGAGGACAATCTATAAAGTCATGTAATCATTAAGAAAAAACTTTGTGTTTCATCTCTATACAAAAGATGTTAAGATTTATTTATAGATGCGACTGCTTGGTAAAGTTCTAGTATATTATATAAGTCACTTTGATTACCGCAAAGTTCACACATTTTTGGACAGAATTTCTTCATTTTGTCAGCATCCGACGTGCACATGTCTTTGGTTAAAGACTTTCCACATTCCAGGCTGTGGTCCTTGCAATCTCCTGAATATACAAACAATAAGCAAACAAATCAACCAATCAGCGAACCAAGCAAAGCAACCAAGCAATTTGCCTGTGAGCAATCCCATGAAGTCAAAAAAAAAAAAAAAAAATGAAATAAACATAATAAAATAGACTAAACGAAAAGAAGAAGATGACGAAGATGAATTCAAAAGTAATAATCAGCCAAATAATGAAAGTAGCAGAACCAGCCAACCAATCCAGTGAGAAATCCCACAAGGCCCCAATAATCAATTAGTTGAAAAAAAAAAACTTACTACAGAGATTTTTATAGCACCATCCATAACCTGAGGCACATTTGGAGCAAGGAGTCCCGGACTTGTAGGGGTATTCACCAATCATATTACCGCTAGGAAAATGTAAAAGATATCAAGTAAGTGGGCATTACGTTTATATTGGAGAAAATTCATTTGTGCATGCAAAATCAGTTTGAGTGAATTGAAGGTATCGCCTTAAAAAAGCTCACTAATTAACAATTAGACCTCGAGGTCGAGTGGACTACGAGCTAATAGCTATTAGCTATGGGCTATTAGCTCGTAGTCCACGAGGCCGAGAGGTCTAATTGTTTTAGTATAAACATACTAATCGATCAAATAATGAAAACAAGTTGAAGTATCCTTAAAATAATTTATAATTTATTTATTTTGATTTTCCCGCGAGTGGTCTATCACAAATTAGACCATTAGTAGAGTAGCCAATCACAGGGCAGTATGAGTGATAGACCATTAATATGTTTATATACTAAAGATTATTATACTGGAAGAAAGACGAAAAGAATAACACGCCAATAAAAACAAGTCTTTACATGCAGAAGTAAAGAGTAAGACGACCCGAAGAAGAAAAATCTCCTGGTAATGACAATACGTACCCAGCTGCATAATCACAAGCCACAAACGTTTGTCCTTCAGGTGGACTAGAGGTGCCAGTCATTGTCTTACACCATTTCATACCACATCCTATATCCTGGCTTAGCGCCCAGACCAACTGATAAGAACATTCATAAAAGATCTCATTTACATTCACTCATTTTAACAGGATTTCTTTTCACCCTTCTTTTAAGCTGTAAAATGTTATTTATAACATCTATTTTTTGTAGTTTTTCAGTTTTTCCATTTTTAAGATTATGGCGATGTGATCTAAGAAAAGTCTTACATGCATTTATCCTCTTGTTCGTTTTCATCTTTTGCGCTTTATAATCCGATTCTTAATGCGATTTAGGTGTCATTTTTTGCAATGCGTTTTAAAAATGCGTTTCAATTCCTAGTCAAAAAATGTAATCTATTATACCTGAGTGTAATGACCACACATCTTTCCCGGTTTGCACTGGTTTGGGCTCATTGGGGAATCATATTTACTATAAGTGTAGTGCTGGCTTTCGCCGTACCACTTTTCTACTCGAGCTTCGGGAGTGTCCGTTTTTCCATATTCTCGTGCTAAATTTTGACCTAAACCAAGAAAAGGAATACAAATCATATGAAATAAAAATGAATCTATCAAGTCCAGTTCTGCCTAATTAAGAAATTCATAAACATGGAACTCCATATTTCCGTAGTGCTGTGAGTTACCAGGGGCGTGTTAAGGGTTACACGAGGGGGAGTTCCAGATGGGGTTCGAAGACGTTTGGACTGTTTAAAAATGTATCGCACTATTGATTTGCCAGACAAAGTATCATCGTATCCAGGGCGGGGATGGGGAGGGCGTGGGTTGTTCCGAAACCCTTGGAACTAGTCTCTCTGCACACGCCCCTGGCTACAACCTAAACAGCATCATAGAAACCGCTCCCATCTTAAAAATAAAAATAAAAATCGTCCAATCATTTGATACACAGGGACTACAAATGCATGTAATACTTCTTACCAATTTGTTCGTCTCTCGTTGCTACAGTGGGATCATTAGGATATTCTGATCCAAATGATATATATCCATGACCCCATATACATTTATTTACCCACATTTGGGCCAGACTAGCAAGATCATCACTCCAAACCTTGAAAAAAAGTGAAAGTATAGCTCAGTTATACAATTCTAGTTATCACTTTGGTTGTCAGTACTGAACTACAACGGCAATTACAAGATAATTGACTGAGCCACAGTACAATAAATACAATCAGAACTTCGATATGAGAATTGTTGAACAACTCGATTGCTGTACGGTCGACTCGTATTTTCATCACTCATGAGCCACTGAATAAAATATTGTCATTTATTTTTGTTGTTTTTGTTCATGAAGTAATTGTGTTAACAGTGAGGGAGCTTTAAAGCAATTGTCTATAAATTTTATTAAACTGAACAGCAACCACAACAGAGTATTTCCAAGAATTCATTTGCTAGACTACCGGTACTCGCTTTCTAATTGATTGTTTAAAATGCAAAACAGCATTTAGTTATTAAAACACTGGACTACAACTGTACTCAACAAACTTTACAACACCATTTACAACGCCTGTCATTCAAGCGACTATTTTTTTTCGCTATTTCTACTTTTCTAAAAATTAATGTTTTTCTGATCAAATTATTGGTAAATTGTGCCAAACAATATCGTACCTGGTATTCCATGTTAGCGGCTTGTGGTTGTACCATCGATCTATATTTATTATGCTCGTCTAGCATATTTTGCATTTGAGTTGAATTAAGTGAGGTTTTAGTATACTCACTTTTACTCGTAGGAGCTTTCTGCTGAACCTGACATTTAGTAATTATAAAACACGATAAAACGCACAATACAATGGTCTCCAGTTCGAACCTGGACATCATAGCAACTTTGAAGTGGCAAAAGTGCTACTCCTTTAAAAATAATTTAAGTTTGGGTATGTGTAAAAATGGAGCTGCCTTCAACCTTATCTTTTTAAATTCATTTTCACTCCGTTATTTCAGAAAACAGGTTTTGGAGCACTTGTTAAGAGTAGTGGTATGTTCCATTGTGCGGTATTACTTTTTGTTCTCAGACACCAACAAGATGGGAGTTACCATTACGTCAGACTTCGAGTATATTAACCCGCAATACAACTCGAATATTCCCTTAATTTAATAAGTTTTATTGTTGTTTTTTCATAATTTTTACTAGAATTATCACTAGCAAAACATGGATCGGAAATGTTTTGAAGTGGTCTTGATTTTGATTGATATATTGCTAGCATTGTATTGTCACTTTCCTCTTAAATGCTCAGAATACGGAACGCCTACCAGTTGATGCCCTACTACCGTATACTTCTTATTTTGTGAGAAAATTCAATTCATCTGAGCGCGCGGTTCATATCAGAAAAAGCCTACGGATCGTTGTTATGCTTTGTGAATTGGTTATGACTTTTTGTTAGTTTTGATATGAGACAAAATACATATGATCATGCTTAACCCTCTTAACTGCCCAATAAACGTAACGTTTACCAGTCGATGCTTGGACAGGTCTCTTGACATTTGGTTGTTACAGGAAGATACTGTAACTTACTTCAAGCATTTTTGATTTTACCAGCTTACTTTGTAATGGTTCATATTACATATGGTATATATTTCATGATTTACAAAAACTGACACAATAAACGAAATTGAAAATAATTCAAATATTGAGATGGAAATTATTTTCTCAGTTTTGCACATTGGAAAAATAGTATTACAGTGTTRRAATGAACACGGATAAGGCCAATAAAATTTTGGTGATACATTGAAATGTCAAAATTACTTACACTTATTTTATTTGATCAAATCACTGGGCCAAAAGAACCACGGAAAATGTCAAATTTCCAAAGTTGCAAAAATGCAAACAAAATTCGGAGATTCTCACCTTAAACAATTTATGCCGTAGAGGGGAGGGGGTAAGTCCAGACTCTGGCACTCTGGGCAATTCTTTAGCGGACCGCTATAGTACAACGTACGGCCGTATATAAGGTATTATGTTGTCTGTAAGAATTGAGCCATCTGCTATCAAATAATGATATGTCTTGCAAATCCACCGCAAGCTTTTTTAGTTCGAGTGAGAAAAACTGAAGAACCTGGACTAGATTTGGTATATATTAGTATTTGATAGCTTCGCGCAATCTGAGGAARCCAGAAAGCTTAAAAAATGTGTTTTAATAGGTTGAGGAACCTATACCTCATTTAATCTAAGCTGTTCGTAAGTTTTAGACCAAAACCAAATTGTAGAGATCAATGTTCCTTTGGGAATATCAACCAAAAGAATGAGCATTTAGAGTGGATTGAAATAAACCTCTCGTTTGATATCATAATCATATACGCTTCCAGGTGCTGGATTTTCGCATAAGACATTTTCAGCCAACCGACACGAATTCGAGTCTTTATCAAAGGATTTACCCTGGGGACAGGCTTGGTACTTGGTCCAACCAGTTGTGCATTGGACAAATCCTTTACATGATACAGGCGTTGGGTAACGACCGTCAGGCCTTGTTGCGCAGAACTGATGGCCAGACACTGAAAATAAAAAAAACAGACGTTTCATCGCAATCTTATACTAATACAGTAAATCGGTATGTAGCCTTTTCCGCAGGTAACACTTCATTTTGCTATTTTGGGATCCCTCTGGAATCCTCTTGGCCGAGTGGTGGCCTTGGGCCCGCCAAGAAATGAGGGGGTGACGTCTTCAGCCGTCTTCTCTTTCATTTTCTGGCGGGTCACAGTCTTCCTTGGTCATATTCAGGAAGCCCAAGAGTAGAAAGAAGAACGGAAAGAAAGAGACGCCTGCGAAGGTGGCTAACAGGAATGGACAATTGATGTTCTTTGCAATAATTTTGCTCATTCAATAAGAAAAATTCAATAACTACTGTATTTATTTAGTGCATTGTGTTCAAGTGTTGCGGTGTCTTTCTTTTCAGATCACTTGCGAATAGTTTTGCTGCTTTTCCAACAACGGTCGAGAGATCGATCGAGACGTTTTTTAAGTATCTTCACGGTAACGCACCATACATTGTGTTTCTGCGGGKTTTTTKTTGCATGCATAGACACCTCTCTGTTTCTGAACCGCTTCTTTCTTGCTCAGGACTGTTTAGCAGGTAAACTTGAGGACATGCTTACTCACGTGGTAAATCACAGCTTTGTGGACAGTTGTTAAGCATCCAGGCCCAGTGCTTCTCTTGTGTACAATATCCCTGGGCTCCCCATGCAGGACACCATTTCTCTTTATCGTAAACTGAGGAAGGCGATGAAAATAATTCAATTATGAGAATGCATCGCGGTGATTGTTCAAACTGAAACATTTTTTAATACCTACACGATGACGCAGCTTATCAATTTTGGTTCAAAGATTCAATTGTATTATCAAAAAATATGTTAATTTGTCTAGTATACTGCAGGCAAAATTCCTTAATTTTATCATTGAACTGAACTAATTTTGAACCAACAAAATTGTGTGTATTTTCATAGTCAGCAGAGGTGATAGAAGCGAGTATTTACCTTTACAAAGACCACAACTTCTTCTACACTTTGTTAGCATCTTATCGGGGTTTTTGCTGCACGCATTTCGAAGGGCCATTTCTGGACATGTTTCAAGAATATCCTCGCATTCTGACGATAAAGAAATATCAAGTTTTTCTTTAAAATTTACTGCATTGTTTTGCTTCTCTTTTGTCCATCAGATGTTTTTATCTAGGAATTCTGATTTCACCTTACCTTTACATTGGTTGCAGCTTGTTTTGCAGTTCTTCATCATCCATTTGCGATTTTTTTCACATTCCAATTCATCAGCCCACAAGGGGCACTCGGGATTACTGTCTTTACAGTCAACCGCTACTGCTCGGTTAAAAATACATAGATATATAACATACTATTAGTGGTCGGTCTTCCAGTTTTCTTTAAGAGTGCTCGATACTGTGTAGAGCAGGATACGTTAACGGAATCAAAGACACATGACGCGGATATACGAGATGTGTAAGAAATCGAATGTTCATTGTGGCCTGATGATTGTGTAACAACATGAAACTTATAGTCGCTACCCGCGTCATGTGTCTTTGATTCCGTTAACTCCTACGCAGATATATAACATATATAGCAATTCGCAGTAAAAATACAACAGAAACATGCAATGTGAAATTAGTTATTTTATCAATACTTTCGGCTCCGTTGTTACGTGTAGAGTATATTTCGATTTAATTGTGGATGTTTCTACTTACCAATCGGACCTGAAGGTACTGGTTCTGTAGGAGGCGGGGGTCCTTGTGGTACTGGTTCTGGTTCTGGTGGAGGAGGGGGAGGAGGCGGAGGAGGAGGAGCAGGTATTGGTGGAGGTCTTTCTACTTCAGGCACAACAATGATAGTTTCAGGACCAGGTTCGGGTGGCTTAACTGTAGTACCAGACCCATCATCTGAGCGCGAAACAACAAATAACAAAATATAAAATAATTGGCGAAAAATTCACCCCAGGAATCCGGTTGTAGCTAGATTTGTGCAGCACTAAAATTTATAATGACTTATCTACAACCCTTGGTGATAACTTGTCGGCGACAAGACTTAATCGTCCCGATCCTGAATTGGATACTCAAACCTCGAAGCTATATGGAATGTTAACATACTGGAGTGTAAAATATGCGGTGTCGGACGAGATCATGTTTTGGTGTCCAGTTATTATATCCCAGTTCACACTTATCTATAGAACTCACCACAAATCCCACACGTCTTTGGACATTTTTCTTGCATGTAAGGTAGATCACATCGTTGGCCACCCTTTATATACTTTTTGCAATTGTATTCAGAAAAATCTTCACATTTTTCTATAAATCAAGAACAGTGAATAACTGGTAAACAATTGCGGCTGCATTAGAGTCTCAAGTGAGACGCTATGTGCTTCCTAGGCACAATGGCAAAAGACTGGAGAGAAAGAGTCTAATGCTAAGAGCAACCTGAGAAACTTGATAATGAATCGGCTAAAACGCTGTATAAACACCAAACATATATAATAGCTGATAAAACGAGAGAAGTAATGTTGAACCCTCCACTGGGTCACACACCAGGAGCGGATACGGAAATTTGTTAAAGGAATGATGAAGAGTCTCAAGGAGGGAGTGTATAAAAGTAAATGGTGTCAAGTGCAAAGAACTGACCCCAGTACGGGAAACAGTGAGGAGGCGAACGCCTGCACTCAATAGCTGTATCTGCCACTAGCTGCGCAGACAGACCTTAATTACCTGAACAGTCTGGAGGTCGATAACCAGGAGGACATTTACACGTACAGGTGCTTAAGCTTAGTTTGCCTCTTTGACACTTGAGAGGACATTCTACAACATAGGTATAAACCGGCATGAAAAGAACATCAAGTTGGAATAATTTGAATCTTGGAAAAGTATACAATGCAGTCTCAGGCATTCATGCGATTTATGCGATGCCTTGACATGATGACCTACCACAAAGATTGCACATTTTAGGGCAAAATTTCGCCATTTTCTCTTTATCCGATGAACACATGTCTTTAGTCAGACCGGATTCACCACATTGTGGACTGTAATCTGCGCAGTACCCTAGACAATCAATCAACATAAATAAATATCAATGGTTACTAGTTGCCTAATCTTGGAAGTCTTCAAATAATGCTTACATTTCATACTCGGATCCATTGATTGCGATTGCTCTTTCAAGAAAACGTTTATTTGGACCTCATAAATTGATCATTCTCTGGATTCTAGGGGTCTTCTAGGGTTCTCTGATACTTCGCTGCCAGAGAAAGTATCATCCTACTTCCACAAGAATATTTCGAAAAATGCTTTTTTTAAATTTCATTTTGACTTTAGATACAGAATTTCGGCATGATAATAACCATTATTAATTGCATCTACAAGACTCGACTTATAGCCACTTACTGCAAAGATTTTTATAACACCATCCATAACCAGAAGCACATTTGGAGCAAGGAGTCCCGAGCTTGTAGGGGTAGTCTCCTTGCATATTACCTCTAGAAAAGAGCGCTCAAGGTCAATTAAAGGGTAGGTTATTACTACATAGAAATGTACTTCAACATTAAACATTAACCGCAAAAGTGATGCTAGGCATCATGCTAGTCATGCTACTCTAGGCGTCAAAGCTTAGGATCTGCTCCATGGACGACAGAATCCATCACAAAATATTGAACACTAAATTTACACATTAAATGGGGCTTACGAAGAGCCATTTTCTATGAGAAGCGCTCATATATTACTGGCAATTCAGAATCCAGAAAACTTTTGAGCCTCCGAAATCCTTAAAAAACTCTTGGATTCCGTATTCACCAGCAGGAACATTGACTAGAATGAAATCTGAACAAGTGGGATCCAGAGTCCAGTCTACAGGATCTCTGGAATCCGGCCTAGTTAAGTCTTAGTTGCAGAAATTAAAATAGTCAAACAGGAACAAGATACAAACTGAGATATCTATATGCATACCCTGGTGAATAATCACAACCAACGAATGTTTGACCACTTTTAGTTTGATATCCACTTCCTAAACGTTTACACAATTTCATTCCACAACCGACGTATTTACTTCGAGCCCAGGCCACCTAAAGACAAAAGAAGGCTCTCTAGCGCAACATCAATTCTAACATTATCTGTTCAGGCATTGTAGTAGATCTTGAAAGATTAAACTAGCTAAAACCTATAAGGGACTTGAAACGTGTAACGCCCGTACATTTCTTTTGTACCAAGCGCCGGAATATTCGAAGCTCATGCATTAACAATTCGAGACCATAACAAGGAAATGAGATGCAAATAGATTTGAATATTCCAACGGTTGGCACGGCGTTACACGTTTCAAGTCCTTTATAGGTTTCTGCTAAAACATAGGATGGGACCAGGTTATTCTAACAATATACTGAATACAAAAAGGACAAATTTTGACAGGCGCCACGAGCAGATGTTGGCCAGCGTCGGTTAATGAATTCAGTGTATGACGTCGTAAAATTGGGTCTTTTGAAAAAGTTAATTAGTTTATGGTCCGAATTCATTGGTCTTCGTGCACCCGTAAAATATATACCCTGACTTAAGCCCTGGTATACTCACCTGAGTGTAATGGGTACACATTTTTTTGGGGACGCAGTTTGGTGGATGCTTGGAGTAACGGTAAGCCTGTTTTTCCATGCCCCATTTTGTTACACGGTCTTCAGGACTGGTAGTTTCGCCGTATTCTCGCGCTAAATTCTGACCTTTATTAACAAGTGGAAAAATAATAAGTAAATAAAAACAAAACGCACTCACGCTTCTATGCGACATACTGTACCTTACCAATTTGTTCTTCTTTCGTAGCAACTTTGGGTTGATTAGGATAATTTGGTCCAAACTTGAGAAATCCATGAGCCCATATGCACTTATTGGTCCACATTTGCGCCAGGTTAGCAAGATCATCACTCCAAATCTTGAATGAATGATCAACAATTTTATGAAGATCAATTTCCATTAAATAGTCCATTTAATTTCAGTAATTTTGTTTCTATAGATATTTATATACAATACGAAATCAATCATGAATGAGTCATATTTTGTTATTTTAGCTGATTCTTAACTATATATCGTATCAGTTTTTGCCTCATTTCTTGTTGCAAGTAGAGAAGCTAATGTGGTTGTCTTTCGTGCCTCGATTATTTCAAAGTGTTGTGTAAATGTATTATACCTGGTATTCCATATTAGCAGCCTGGGGTTGCACTTCTGATCTTTCTTTATTATGCGCGTCCAGCATAGCTTGCTTTTGAGATGGGGTCATTGCACTTTTAGCAAAATCGCTTCTTTTAGGGATCGAATTTTGATAATTTTGACTTTTTACAATTACGAAAAATGACAAAAAGCACGCAAAAGCGATCATTTCCCTCCACAGCCAGTACATCATCTTGCTGTAAATATGGAGAAGTGAGCTAGGTTAAATCCAAGTTTCCATCAAATTTTAAAAAAGCTCATTTCCCGCTGGAAAGGTATTAATTTTCTTCGTTATCAGACTACATTTCCTTCGTAATAGCTTGGCGAGGAGATACAGCGTCGTTTGTTCGACAACAGAGGGCAATTGATGCGAGTTACCATTACATCAGACCTCGAAAAAGAACTGGTAAACGTCTTCCAGGCATCGAATTAATGTCAAAGATGTCATCAGACATCAAAATGTCATTACGCTTGTCCTAAAATTGAGATGGCTACCTGCTGACTTGAAATAGAATTTTCGTCTGACTGTAAACCTTATTCCATTTCAAATCAACAGTTTTCGGGTTGAAAATTGTAGCAAATATTAAAAAAAGTAAGATTTGATAGAGAACTGGAATGCGGCATGGTATATTTACAATATATCGCAAATATACTATTTCCACAAATTCAGCTTATCACAAGACAGTTGAAATAGACGCTCCGTGGTTCGAAAAATGTCCAATGTATGCTTTTGGTCCTTTTATTGGATTCCAATAAAAAAGATTATAGGGCGGGGCTCCTGTGTTTTTGTGTAAGGGGAAGACTAGAACTAGGCAATCCAAGATGGCGGATGAAGTGAGCAAATTTTGTCAATGAAAGACTTATATCCTACAAAAAGTTTATTATAAAGRCCGAAAAAGATGAGCAAGCAGTCCTCACCAAGAAATTTTAAATTATAAGTATCTCATCTGCTTTTTTCTTGATATAATGTCACGAATTTAAAGCTAACTTGGCACCTTGTTCTGTTCTTGTTTACAGTCCATCAAACATTGTGCATAACATCCATTGACTTCCAAAGAAAATGTCTTTTTGTAAGTACAATAATGGACGTATGTTATGTTTATTATATAGAATATTAGAATATCAAACTCTGTCAATACCATGATTTCTTACTCGGATTGTGGTCATGTTTTAATAAGAGAGAATTAATTTTACCGAAGTTGATTTAAGCTGTCGATAACTTTTGACCATCCATCGTACAAACATGGCCTGACTAGTGTTGTATCAATGCTATGTATGTGTTCTTTTTTCAGGGTTTTGTGGAGCTGAGAATATTACCTTTAGCGCACAATCTGAACAGGATCAAATTGAATTGCAAACAGTGCAATATCCTTTTGTACATAGTCTATAAGAATTCTTACATGTAGTACACTCTGTTTTTTGTCTTATGCCATTTCTGCTGTATGGATTCCCAGTGTGACCTGATTGATCATAAGTGCACAAACCCTTAACTTATTCTTAAGGATAATGCGCATTTGCATTCGAGATGAAAAAAAGGGAGATTGGTATGAAGCAGGTTTTCAGTTTGATGACATGAGAGGAAGACCAGTTTGTGGCGATGCCAAAAAGTAATTTATTATAAACACAAGACAACATTTTAAGTATTTTTATGTGTGAAATGTATCAAAATATTCTAAAAAAAGAAAACAAGCATAAATGGTCATTTTCAGAGTGATGAATACCAGTACAACCTACAAGAAAACAGTACTATTATATACATGACAGATAAAAATAAACATATGACTTACACATTTAACTTGAATGCTCTATAATGAGTACTTAAAATGTAATGATGTTCAAACACTGATTATGATGAATTGTGAGTCAAGTTATTATATATCAATCTTGTTTTTCATTACTTATTGGTCATTGTTTTGCAGGAGAAACTTGGATTATTTTTTTGCCTGCCAACAAAATTCTGTGACTGTTTTTGATCCAGACAAAAGTGGAGGAGAACTGACAATTAGAGTCCCCAAGGAGGTTCAGGCTTGTGCCATGGGTAAGATAAAATCTCAAAATCTTGGATATGACACTATCTATTATCAAAGTCCAGCTCATGAGTTACCTATGACTATACCCCCATTGATACATAATTTTAATTTTGACTTATAGAGAGGCGCCAGTTTCGAATCAGCATTGAATATTCACTCGATCATCCTGAGGGAGGGATACAGTTTGTAACCCCAAAAGGAGAAGGATCCATGGCTGAGGTACATTTAAATAAAGTTATCCTGTGGATATAAGGCAGTTACATGTATATAACTCACTGGATGCATCTATATATTTGATTTATTATATATGAACACTAAACTCTTATTCTACTTAATATGTATTTTATACTCTGTTAAAATACTTTCAGAGATCTGCACACTTGTTTACTTATGGCTATGGGAACTCATCCAGGTAGGTAGAGCAACACAATCTTTTTTGATTTCCAATAAAACCAAAGGTAGCATAATTATATTATTTTTGATTTGGAAGTGAGGAACGAATGACAGAAGAATACCGCTTGATGTATGAGGATAAATTTTATGGCAATTAGTTTCAAGGCAGGGGTTTTTCCTGTAGGTTATGGTTTCCCTGTGTTGATTGTTATTCTGAAGTATGTACATGGAGTATTGACATCACAACAAGTAAAGATATGATAGCAGTAAGCAGTGGGGAATTGGTTGAACAGGTAAAACATCTGCTACACATCTATTGAACAAAACATTGATCTTTCTAATATAACCTTATTGAATTGCCCTATTTCATTATGACGTCACAGTATGTTTACATCGGAWAAYGATGCTMMAAAACAGYGGAAATTTGGACCCATTTATATTGTCGACTAAAGTAGAACTTAAGTGAATCGTGTTTTGATATATATCATGTATATTATAAATGATTGCTCATGTACATTTTATTTGAAATGCAGTCACTCTGATCCCTTCTGGCGACCATAATCATTAGCGTTAAAACAATAGAATGTTTTGAGGTGACGTCATAATGAACTAGGGCAATTAAAGTTGTTGAATGGCAAAAAGGTGATGTTATCTTCCAAGCTGTTTGCTTTGCCATGCTCCCTTTTGGTCCTAGACTTAATCTAACCTTTTTGAACCTGACTGCGTTTTTTAAATTAGATGTATACCATATGGTGATGGTTATGTTTATTTTTCTGAGCTTTTGTTTCTGTTAGATTACACACAATGTCCTGTATGCACTATAGCACCCATTAAACCTACTCAAATGTCCCATTTGTGGTACGATTTGTAGTAAAATTAGATACAAAGAGACTCTTTTTACCAATCTCTGACCTTAAGAAAGTCTGAATAGAATTAATTTAAATAACATGATTTTGATTCCTTATATTGAAGTAATTCAGGATACATTTATGATCTAATATCATTGATACCACAATAATTGTAGATTCTTAATGCTGATGATAAAACAAAGACTTTTCAATATGAACTCAACATTCCAACATCGGCACCCAATATCGCTCTAGCTGTAGGGTGAGTATGTTTATGTTTTATCAGCTAACGCTCACTTTTGATACATTGCTTTATTAGAGTACAAACTAAAACAGTGCAACATAAATACCACTAAATACTGCTAAATTATGCTAATTCTATTGTTAATTTCTATTGTTTAATTAACACTATTTTGTAGTAAATAGTGGAAAGTGTTGCACACATTTAATGTTTGTACTCTATCAAATGCAAAGTTATAGACAGTACATGTAGATAATGATAATACAAAATAAAATAAAATAAAATAAAATAAATCAAAGTTTAATGATAGAGATGCACAATCATGGTCCATATTTGGTTAAAATATCAGATTTTGGGTCTGCATGCCTGGGTTTAATCCCGGAATTGGCAATCACATTGTTTTCTTAGACAAGACACTTATTTCATCACATCTTCTTGGAAAAGGGCAAGCCAGAGGCCCTGTCTTTTCACACTTCACATTACAGTACTTTAGCATTGAAATACATCCTTTTAATAAGTCCCGAGGTTTTGTGTTCTCCGCACTTGACGTCAAATTTATTCTTTTGAATTCCTTTTGTATTTAACTAATTGTAAAAATTTCAAAAGAATAAATTTGACGTCAAGTGCGGAGATCGCAAAACCTCGGGACTTATTAAGAGGCAGTCTCTGTAAAAGCGGTCTGATGAATTTCGGCTCAGAAATAGTTTTCCCTCAAATTTCTACCATGAATTGCCCTATCATAGTAAGTAATGAAAATCGACTTTGTTTTTCAAAATTCGTTAAATTAATTTTTTTTCAGCCTATTTTTACGGGTCCACCGTCTTCGCTAAATTTTCATTTTTTCACGATAGGAAATCGAACATTTTCAGAACAGCATAACTCACAAAATATAGAACTCAGGCCCTAAATATTTTTAGCCATTCTTTTAGATGTATCTGTGCACTAAATAGTAGCAAAATTTTGAATATCAAATAGAAGGGGAAAATAATACACTATACGAAGCAAACCCCATTATTCGGCTTTTTGAAATCACGGCGAAGTATAATTTACAAAGTAGCTTTTATCTGCCAAATCCAACACAGTTTGCTTAAAATTTTTAATGAATTCTACTAACCTAWGGTTGGTTAACAAGAACMSATAAAAACATTTTGCGCTTTTGAGCTATATTCTGTACAGCAGGCACGTAGTTTTCGTGTTTTTCAGTAACTTGCCGTTAAAATATGCAAATTAGGCATCCAAAATAAATCAATTTATTGATATATTTTTCATAAAGACTTAAAGCATTTATGGTTAATACTCTAAATCTAACAATTTTTGGTATTTTAATCCGCGTTACGAATTAAAACTGCACCTGATTCCTTCCTCAGCGAGCTAGATGATGTGTTTTGACGCTTATGTAAATTTCATATTGATTACGGTTAGTCCAAAATGAGATTACAATACTTTATATCCTTTTAATAGCCCCAAACGAATATTTAAACCTTGTCAATATACATAAATAAATGTATAAATAATTTAATTAATAAAGTTTGAAAAAGTTAAAAGTGAAATTGAATTTTTGTCGCTTCAAAACACATGTCAAAACACACGTCAAAGCCTTTAACGGACAGCCTTTATGCACTAATTAATTAAAACCCCCGTCCTCCGCCCCCGGGGAATAGCGGGGAATTTAAGGTAGGAGTGGTGTTAAAATGTTTCCCTCGGTATTCGGGGGGTACATCCATTGTTAAAATCCCCGCTACTGTTGCACCGCTATTTCGGTCCGAGTAGTAATTTGACAGTTTTAGATTCACGTTTACTGCAAACGCCAAACGTCAAATTGGCTTTTATGCTTTGTCTCAAAATTTCAAACAAGCGTAAAAACGCTTCGAAAGGAATAGTGATGTGCTTATACACGAAAAAGTGATCTATTTTAGTGGTCACGTGATCAGTTTTGGCGTTCTCCGTAAACGCGTCATCTAAAACTCTCAAAAATAACAAAACGACCACCTTTCCATCAAATTTTCTGTGATACACAGGGTTTAGTTTTTGGACAATCCTGTGTACTCATTTGCGTAATACATGAGCCTAACTGGACGGAGAAAAAATGTGTAATAAGGTTCTTTAAAAAAAGTTTTCATGCAAGGAAAAATAAACAAACAAAAAACAGGATTAAAGACCAATGCTTTCAGGGTATTTCTCAATATGCTCGAGTTTCCAGCCTCATACATGTTCAAACGGGCGTTGAAATCCCAACGCTCTTTGCCCCGCTTCGAAAAATCCCGACCCCCCGGGGTAATGTTGCACGTTAAAAACGCTTCACGTTTCCCTTTCAGCGCCCCGCTAGCCTCGGAGGGCGGGGGTTTCAATTGACTAGTGCATTAGACCGTTTTTGTATCAAAAGATTCCGCACTAAGATATGAGTCTGTATGTGTGTTAAAATATCAGAAGAGAGAGAAATTAGATGTCATGCTTGTTAAAGTACTCAGCAATATTTGCTGAATGCGGTGATTCGAGAGGGATTTCAGGACTTTTTCCTATTTATCAATGTAGCGATAATAATCAAAACCACCTTACGTCTGTATATCTATCAAAAGATAGCGTCTTGTCGACAGAAAAACTTTAGTTTTAGCCCGAGCTGATATGTTTGATTTGCTAGATATCTCAGTCAAGCTGGAATCAATGTACTTATGTGCAAAACACCGTCATTCGCTTTGTGAATTCTGAAAAAGAACGAGAAAGTATCACAATTGAGCGCTTCCGCAGTCCCGCAGTGATCGGAAAGCATGATGTGCGATAGTTTGCTTGCGAACTCTGTAGAACGAAAAAGTATCACAACTGAGAATAATAAAAGGTGTGTGAGTTACACTAGAAATTGAATGGTAATATTTATATTTGATGGGCTCCTGTGTAGCACTGTGTGACTACGTGACTACAGGAGCACCAAAATAATAAGCGCAATGCCGATCGCGAACAACCCGCCGTCTTAGTTGTTTGATAGTGTACGAAATGATAACAGGACCACAATTCAATGCAGGCACTGTGTGACTACGTGACTGCGGGAGCAGCGATTACTAAGACAATTCGTGTGGACTGGTATGATTCTATAGTCTAGCCGTTTGAGAGTTATTGTTGGAAGATAGAATGGCGAAGTACTCGCAAGAACTCGACGCCAAGAATTAGAGTTTTCATGACAGGTTTTTACTTTGTTATTCGACTTTAGTAAGGTAAAAAACATGAAATCGCGTTTCTAAAATTTATATGTTATTACTAATGTATCAGAAAATGAGCAAGACTTTCCAATTAAACTATTCCACGGCACACGCAAGAGCTTCAAGAAATTTACATATGCATCAAAACATCCCGTCTAGTCACCGACGGAAGATTGAAAAAAATGCCGATTTAGTGCTTTAAAATAAAATAACAATGCTTAAATTCAGTGTAATAAATGGTAATGCATTTATATTTGATCAAATAAAGAGGTTTCATGATTTTTTTTGGATGCCTAATTTGCATATTTTAACGGCAAGTTACTGAAAAACACGAAAACTACGTGCCTGCTGTACAGAATATAGCTCAAAAGCGCAAAATGTTTTTATGGGTTCTTGTTAACCAACCTTAGGTTAGTAGAATTCATTAAAAATTTTAAGCAAACTGTGTCGGACTTGGCAGATAAAAGCTACTTTGTAAAGTATACTTCGCCGTGATTTCAAAAAGCCGAATAATGGGGTTCGCTTCGTATAGTGTATTATTTTTCCCTCATATTTGATATTCAAAATTTTGCTACTATTTAGTGCACAGATACATCTAAAAGAATGGCTAAAAATATTTAGGGCCTGCTTTCTATATTTTGTGAGTTATGCTGTTCTGAAAATGTTCGATTTCCTATCGTGAAAAAATGAAAATTTAGCGAAGACGGTGGACCTGTAAAAATAGGCTGAAAAAAAATTAATTTAACGAATCTTGAAAAACAAAGTCGATTTTCATTACTTACTATGATAGGGCAATTCATGGTAGAAATTTGAGGGAAAACTATTTCTGAGCCGAAATTCATCGGACCGCTTTTACAGAGACTGCCTCTTAAAAGGGTGTATAGGGAATGGTGCTCCTGTTATCCATCATTATTCAGTCTTTTCATCAATGTAACTCACTTATTGTCAACACACTATTTTTTTTGCAGATTCAGAGTGTTTCATATATTTTTTTAAAGATTTAAAAATTTATAAATATTTTTTTTTCAGACCATTT